TGACTCCACGCGGTCCTCTTCTACCACGTGATCCTTTAGGACCCTGCATTCCCGGCGGTCCTTGCACGCAAATTTGTTGTTTGGGTGAACAGAATGATCGTGACGTCAGAGAGTTTAATGTCTTGTTTATCTCACTTCTGACCGACTCCATAGTAAGCTCGTCTGGTTTTGTGCCAGCTTCAGATGAAAACCGGCGGGTTCTTCCGATATGAGCTGTGCATGGAGTAGAATGAAGATATATAACATTTTGACTAGCTCATCAAATATTGTTCACTCATCTGTTGCCAGGGTTTGTTCATTCATCTTTGCAGACTGATGCTGTTATTTTTGGCTTTATATAACAACAATGTATTTCTTTGGCACTTAGACGAGTCGGTCGAAATTTATATTTTTTCATTATTGGCTGATGACAGTGGGTTTCGTAGTCAATTTGTCAACACAATGATACGTTGATTTTTTAGCTAGACTGAGTGTAACCTTCCTGGTTTTTGCGTCAGAGCTCCACTGCAACGTGTTCTAAGTGATTCATGTGTTTCTGCCAACAACTTCTGTGCGTGCCGCTTTATGTTTCGCCTCGAAATTGTCGGAACGTTTGAAGCTTCTACGCGAACTAACTAACATACTAACTAACGTATAACTGAAATAGCAAAGTCAAAAATACTTGGTCAAAAGCTGTCACGTGCACGCGTAACTTCACATTCATCAATTTCTGCTGGAGTGCTATAGAGTGATGTTCACTTGAACTAGCTTAATTGTTCGAATTTACGTACAAGTACAAACACAAAAGACAAGACATAGAGCATACTGGTCAAAGGAAGAAAGGGAAAAAACCCGCCACTTCGGAAGTGTAAAACTTATATCTAACAATAACGAAGAGGAAAATAGATCATCCACGCACAAACAAGAAATTCCGGCTGATCGGACTTATAAAAACAGAACTCAGTTCTGGTAGAAATTTATGTCTATTATTTACGTACATCATAAATTTTGAGTCAGAAATCTTTGAAGTTTCATTTTCTACAGTTATGACATTTCTTATCAAATACCCAGGGTCAGTCGTGATCATTTAAAAATGATCGATTAATCCTGCACGCAACGCAGCTTTAATATTTGTCATCACTTTCCTTTGAATTCATTAAGTGCCCTTTGATCTTGAGAAAACAAAGATTACATTTTTTTTTTAAAGTCACGTTTTGGTGATTTTTGCATTCTTTTCACCATATGTCTTCCTGGAGAACTGATTACACTGTGAATACTCAAGCCACGCAATGAAATCACGAGAAATTATAGTCAAGAGAACCAAGACTTACATGTGATTACTGATTGTTTGTTCAGTTTTCAGATTTTTAAAGTTTCATTTAATTTCTTTGGTGATAAAAAAACATAACTTTCCTTACAATATCGATGCATTTTGAAAGATTGGGTTTGAATGATGGTAACAGCAACTTTCAGAACTGTGTCTTTTCGAAATCTTAATTCAAGACCTATTTCATAAATGTCAATATAGCCTTAGACATGCACAAAGCATAGAATAGCTTAGAATGGGAACATTTATTATTTCTAAGTACAAGTTACGCACTAGCTGAGCAGTCGAAATACTTTACCTTCTGTCTCATCTCTCCCGTCTTTAGTAATCTCTTGATCAAACTTTTCAACTGACTCGACTCTTTCAGAGCGTTTGGAGCTTGCTGCATCGGTGAAAACTTTGATCACGTTCTGATTCTGCCGTGCCTGCGCCACAAGATCTTCAACATCATGAACTCGCTGGTTTATAATCTCAACGCGCACCAATGCAGTGGTACAGATCAATAAAGACACTAACGACACTGGACAAACAAGCTTAGATGAACAGCTGTGGAAATTACGAGCAAATGAGTGTTCTTGTTTCTCGGCCATGACAAAACACTGGCGTCGCACGATAATGCAGCGCTCCTTGTGGTGCGGTGTAAAGATACTCGCCAAGACGTGTATGAAATGTGACTCTTGTGTTGACAATCATCCAGAGCAGGTCACAGTAACAGCGGATGTTTTAAGCGTGCACAATGATAAATGAAGGTCAGGCGTCATCCTAAAAATAAAATCTTTTTTGTTCTTCTTAAGAGCTCGGGGGCCTACATTTCAGTGGATTATATAAGCAATATGCACAAGGTTTTATACGATAAAAAACTTTGTGCAAAGCTACAAACACAACCTCGTTCCTACTGTCTCTCTATACTTCTTGCCCATCTTTCAGTCCAGAAGGTGGAAAGAAGAGAGACACTGGGAACGAGTCTGCTACTAAAGCAGACAAAAATAAGAGTGGAAGAATGAGAAGAGTGCAAAGTTTTAGAGGATCGTGAATCAAAAGGAAATTGTTTTCATTTGTATTGTAAAACACTAACTGCTCACTCATTCATCTTCTTTGCTGCTGTAAGTGGAGCATAAGGCTGAGAAACGCTGACGCTGTCTTCTACTTTCCAATAAATATTCGATTGACTTTAAAGCCGCCAACCGGCCGCTGTTCGGGAAAGGACCCCGGGACTCGAGAGAGCGGCGGAAATCGAGCCTATAGGTCTTGGGGCCTGGCCACGAGTAGAGAACAGACTTGTTTTCTTATTGATATGTCGTTAAGGGTAGGATTATGATTAATAGTTCTCATTAGTAATGTAATTGGTGAGGCCGGAGAATTTTTTTGAATTAAAATATCGTAAATGCCCAATTTAGCGCCCAGGGCGCGTATTTCAAATTTAGGAGAAAAAAAAAACGGGTGAGGGGGTGGGG